AAATTCGAGAGAGCCTTCCTTATAAGTATGTGTTACCAGGCGAACGTACAGGAATGGAATTAAACGATATCTTGCACTTAATGACGGGTCACGGTACATTTGTAGGACCGCAATTGGTTCTGGACATAAAGATTCCGCTATTCAACCGACAATCATCCCAATTCTACAAAGTTATTCCGTTACCATTTCAAGAGGGACATACAGTGATGATACCCCGGGTGAAAGCCCCGTATATTGAGTATAATTTCGAAATAGATCCTTTCTATTTCTTAACCCAGGCAATGCTAAATGAATGCAAAAAGATGTTGGGCAATGAAATAATGTGCGAAGGTAATTTTCCTTGGAGAGATGCGTCCACTAATAATTGTGAATTATCGCCACTGAGACCTCATATCAACTTAAACTGAGCTTATGACGAAGTAGAAAGCATGCCTTATTGGATTTTAAACATTTTCAACTACTACAGCCATCTTAAATGCTCTCACACACAGCAAATACTAATGAAACTACCGCAGCAAGGAATTCTCTCGATGATGCACATCGAGAACGCAACAATATAACGATAGAATGTCATTCAGTTCTAATGAAGGATGTAAGACCGACCGAAAAAGAAGCTATTAAATTCCCGGGAAACGCGTTGATTAATCTAAATCAAGAAATAGCTGCGCTAAAGATGATTGTTGCAGATTTAAGGAACGAAAATGTGGAATTGAGTGGATTGAAATTTCATCATATATCGGCACATGTATCATTCCCATCGGTTATTGCAGTTATTATAATTTTAATTATATTACTTATAAGAAAGGAAATAAAAACTATTCGCATAGCAGCTATCCAATTTCCTCGGGCCCAAGAGATATAAATAAATTATTTGCCGCCCGGGAGAATGTTCATACGAACAGAGTAAGTTTAATATTCCAATATGAATTGATATTGATTTAGTATAATATAGAATCTTGTATGTTTATGGCAAATGTTTATGTTCAGCGATAAGATGTGTTTTTAGGAAAACTGATTATGTGTAATGATAAGTGCTTGAGTAAAAAATGACAAGCGTTAATGCATTGTGAAGTATTGGAAAGTTCGAAAGGCAATAAAATCTTTGTGCGTGCGCTGATAATAAAGAATTTGAAAATGTTCACACACAAATAAGCAATGCCGATACTAGGTAGCATAAAGAAATGCCACCTCTTGCGTAGGGACAAAACAACCCTTTATGTGCATTGATGATATGCATTATTAGAATTGAAGTAGGCTAAGTTAGATTAGTGCAAGTAGCTAGTAAGATATAAAAATTGTGAAATAAAATCAGAATCAAAATTATATCCGAACATAAATGTTTCTTTCCTTCTCAACTAAACAATGCTATCAAGAGTGGTATGAATTCTGCCCGTTTACAAAATACGGACGTACGAACAGGGTCAAAATAACTTAAAACTTGTATATCAATTCATTCCAAAAGTACCGTGATTTTAACAGGCATACGAAGAGTTAGAGGGACATTATTATTTTTATTTCGAGGAGTTTCAAATTGGATGACAAAAAAGTCTATTTTATGTAATATTTTTTAAGTTATTTTGAAGAGCCTAAAATATTCCACTCCTCTCAGTGTTTGGTATTTTGATACTCCATACTATGGAGGGTATATTAACTTCGTCGTTCCGTTTGTAATTCCTCGAAATACTGATGTCAGGCCCAACAAACATACTTGATCAACACATACACTTGATCAGTTGTTGCAAAATATTATGGCTTAATCCCATTATTGTTGTAATATCCTCCACCTGAGAAGGAGGACACATAAAATTTCTCATTCCGTTTGTAACACCTCTATGTATTAGTCATAGACTCCATAAAATATATATATATATTCGTGATCGGCATAAAATTCTATGTTGATTTTATGATGTTGTCTGTTTTTTGAAATCACGATGCAGACCACATTATCTGACGTAGAGATTTAACCAACGTAGAGGTTCATTGAATAAATGAAAAAGTATCATTGAGTTTCATTAATGTAAAATTAACGAAATTGTTCATTAATATAATGAAAATTCTTCCTTGATTCAGTGAAATGAAAATGGTGGAGGGTATTAAAAGCTCGGTCCGGCCGACCTTTGCTTTTTTTACTTCTTAATACCTACACCACATTATGGTAGTGGGTAATTTGTCGTTGTGCATTTGTTTGTAGCAGGTAGAAATACGCGAGATAAACCCTACTTTCTTGGATGATCTTTATAAAATCACGTTCTGAGTCGGTTTATGCATGTCGGCAAGTCTGACGGTCTGCCATGTATTTTTATGAACAAAATGCAGACCGCCTTTATTGTTCGATTGATATGAAATTTTCCATGTATCATTTATGAAAAAAAATCAACGAAACCGGTTCATTGATGCAACGAAGGATTTTTCTTTCAGTATACATAACGGTACCTCCCTATTTTCTGTATTTTGATAAAATTAGCGATATAGTCAACGGAGCTGCTTTTGATTTCGTATTTGAACGTCCCAATGCGTATGCAGATCCTGTTGTCGTAAAGCCCCCATTATTCACAGATATGGCTGATATAAGTGTTCACGTACTGGTCGATTTAAAGTGTTTTAAAATACCTGTACCCATATTTAAGCCGTGGGCTTCCATATTTAAACCGTGGACATCAAATGTGTGGATGAGCTATACAAATCCATTAAAAAGTATAAATCAATCTTATCCCCATGTAAGGGATGAAATTAATTTTTAGTATGGTAAAAATCGCAGCAAAATTTTCCAGTCAAATGTGCAGTAATTTGGAATTTACTGTATTTTGTACACCTCATAATTTAGGGATGAATGATTTAAGAATAGCCAAAGCTAATTACTTTTTTAAACTCAGTGGAACATCAGATTGTGCATTAGAGTCCTTATAAGTCCCGCTAACCATATCGGTCTGTTTGTCCACCAAAAGGTGGACTTGAGGGGGCATTATTACATGGAAAAAAATTATAAAATTCGTAGATATGTTGAAATTTTTGTGTAAGATTTCCACCCACATATACATTTTTAGCCAAATCCTTTGAAATATGGTAAAATTAGGAGGTACCTTTATATACTCCGAAATATCGACCTACATTGAAAACTTTCTTCCACCCCTTATAATCCAACATGACAAATACAGGCCAAATCAGTTATATTGCTATTTTACACCCATTACCGTAAGATGGGAATTAATTTTATTTGCCATTTAAATTGTAAGTTGGAGACCCCATAAAGTCCAGACTTGGGGATACTCCAATGTGGGGACTTTACTTAAATAAATTCCTATGTGGCAATTATCTGTTTGATGGTTCCCTACCTCAGGGTAGCATAAATACAATTTTTTAGCCAAATCAATTGATGGATGTGGTCAAGACCAATATGGGCCCTACTCTGAAAATTTCAAATTTTATGCGAAGAGGTTCTCTACCCCTTAGAAACAAAGATGCCAAATAAGGGCCAAAATATGAAAAATTGGCCAAGACCCCCAAAAATAGCTTAAATTATACGATGGTTATATAAATATGAAATCGGGTTGTACCCTTATCCGTGAGTTATGATCGATATCATGACCTGCAAAAGCGATTCAAGGTATCTTGAATGTTTGGGAAAATTTTCTGGAAGGATAGAAATCCTTTTCTTACTAAGAGTCCCATTCGCTCTACTATTTTCCACCCTTTATATTTGGTATTTTACTGATTGTAATCCCAAAGAATTTTTCATTTTGATCTGACATTGAATGGATTATTGTCACATGAAAGAAGTAGGTCCACGCTTTGAAATTTCGGTAATTTTTGTTTATTTTAATGTGTTCGCATCTTCCAGCTGAACCACGATGTCGGCCCTGGAGTTGAAAGGTAGATGTCATTTAACATCGTATTTCGCACTTATTTCATTTTTTTGTGAAAAATTGTATATAGTGAAAAATTATTCTTTATTTTGTTCACAAAAAAATCCACTGAATTCAATATGATAATACAAATTGAAAAAAAATTGACAAAAGAAGAATAACAAATTGACAAAATCTTCAACTTGTTCGCTGATTTTTTACAGCAAATGTTTAAAGATCCTTACAAAGTTTGTCAATAGAATGTACTATTATTTTAAAATTCGATTCCATTGAAATTTTTTTTTTTGATTTTTTCCCGGTTTGAGAATTTTATCAATGAGATCTCTTTTTTCGTGATTTTTTAGCGATTTTGAAAAGTAATTATCTTTTAACTTAGGTGTGACCGTGTTAAATTATTTCGATATCATCTGTTCCTTTTCGCCACCACATAATTCGGTACTACACTTCCATGGCAAATTGCACATCAATTTCAGTTCTCAAGAAATCAAGTCAATTAAATAAATTGGTATTAATATTCGAATTCAAAAATAAAATATAAAAAACACCACAAATGTACTTTCGAAAAAAGTAAGTCAAAATGGAAAAAATCATGCAAAATAAAACATTACTATTGTACATTTCAAAAGTCAAAATGAAAATGTTAATATATCACATTTTTCGCTTTTTTTTTTTTTTTTTTTTTTGGATATTATCCTTTTCGGACAGGAGACAATTCCGAATTGTATGAATCGTTAAAATCAGTCCAGCGGTTCTTAAGTAGCGTAGTAACTAACACAACTTTCTTTCATATATATTTAGATAAATTATAAGATATAATGCAATAATTGTGATTTTTTAATGTAATGGATTTTTCATATAAAAATAGTTTTTTTCTGTAACGATTGTTGTCAAAACTCTACTCATTGCCCTAAGACATAAGGGCTAAGTGTAGTCATACTAACAATTTCAACCACATTATAAAGCCACAATAGTATAAGGGACTTTTACGCTTTAAATATATTGAATTTGTAAACTCAAAAAAAGAAATGAGAAATTATTGCTTAATGATTTGTTTAGATACTGTTTTCCTTGCATTTTTATATTGCTTATATCAGGGAAATACGTGTTTAATTTTTTTTATCATATTTTATATTTCAGAGTAAAGAAGCGGGGATTCGAACCCTTGTGGCTCTGGATGATCAAGGAGGTAAGATATAAAAAGATAAATGGCAAATTGCTCATCAACTTCATATCTGCTTCTTACACAAATAGAAAATGGTATAAAAAATGTGTAGTAACTCATCAATTGAGAACGGCTAGTCCGATTTGACTTTCATTTTCTTTCGGTTGTTTGTAATCACAGTGAGAAGAGTCTTACGAAAAGGTTTGTACGTTTGATTGTTTCTTTATAATTCATGTTCATGTTTTGATACACCAAACACGATATTTACGTCCTATTCCAATGATTTTAATTTATTAAAATTGGATATAGCTCCCATTTAAATATTCCTCCGATATCACAAATTTAATGCCCTAAACACGATATGTATTTCCGATTCCAATGGAATTCAAATTTTGGCACAATAATAAATTCGCCAAGTTATTTCCATATAATTCAATATATAATCCGTTGAGACTTTGATGTAGTTCCCACATATAGTTTTGGTAGATTTCACACATTTTTTGCACTGAAAACGATATGTATGTCCGATTACAATAAAATTCGGAATGAGGTACGGAATTTGGTACAAAAATAAATTGAAATCGGTTTAGTTTTTAATATAGATCCCATATACAGTTTCGAAAGATGTTTTATATTTGATGCACTAACTAAAATAAATACACAAAAATTTAATTGTGGCAACAACTATTACTGGGAAATATGTAGGTTCAGTTGTATTGCTACCTCGGATCCCTCTAGTAGCAACAGAAATGCCGTTCAAAAGAATACAGTTTCCTATCCTGCTTTACCTGGTATGTTCACGCATTTGTCAATTTGTTTTACTATTATTCAAAAACCATAAAACTTTCGCAAATAAAATTTTCAATGCATATAAAAACTAAAGGGGTAGCGAAGCATACCGGACTCAGCCAGTATATATACTGATAGATTACTTCAAACTGACAGAATCTTAATTAACTTAATTAATTAACTGTTAACTTCCTCCTTTTTATATTCTTTGTCTGTTACTACAATATTTTCTTTACAATGATCATCAGATGATCGCATTAAATCCGTAGAAGTATTGCTTTCTCTCACTTTCATTCACAAACTCGAAATATTTATCGGATAACCCAATATATATATATATATATATATATATATATATATATATATATATATATATATATATATATATATATATATATATATATATATATATATATATATATATATATATATATATATATATATATATTACTTAAAATTTCACCAAAACTTGAGAAAAGTATTAAAAAATAATTCAAAAACTACTCAATTAAAAAATAGTTTTGATCCGGCAGTTTCTTTTATTTTTGGAAAAAATGTTGCCTATCTAAAGGAAAGAGATTAATTCACAGATTCTAAATATAAGAAAGGTACGTTTTACTTTTCTTATTAAATCTCATTCTTATTTCAATTGAAAATCCATACGTTACTGAAGGTAATCATACTATTCTTGATTTTCTACCTATATTTGGTTTAGAATGATCATTAAACAAAACACTATTTAAAAGCAAAAATATTTTCAAATTCTGTATCAAACTGTGAATTAGTAATATAGCATTGTTTTATACTATTTGAAATAAAAATATATACAAAATAATATTTTCTACAGAAATACCATATGCCGACTATTGGCAAATAGACATGCCGAGCATTGGAAAATGGTGCCGACTACTGGCAAAAAACTACTATATATCTATTTATTTATTGTTATATTCGTTCCTACACAACAAGATTAACATCTTATAAGTTATAGTGAAGGAATTATAATTACAAACAAATATCCGCTTAAACTTAGAAAGAAATAAAAGATTTTATGTAAATGAGGCACGATAATTATAAAATTAAGCTTATATAAACATTAATTGAAATTTTTGAATGTGAAATAGAAGTAGTATTTTCAATAATGACATAAAAGCAATGACAAAATATTAAAATGCTTACACTCCGATAACTGCCTCCAAATTATGAAAATAATTCATTAATTTTATTTTAAATATAGATACGTTGCTGATACCTTGAATTTCAGATGGAAATGTATTCCATAGGCGTATTGAGCCAATAAAAAATTCCCACTCCGAAACAAGACACCGCCGTTTGAGAGGTGTTAACTTTTTTCCTCTATTCGACGTTGCAAATCTGATCCTCTCAAATAGGTATTTCGGTGTTAGTTTGTATATTATTTTATGAAGGAATAATAGTGCTCTGGTTTTAATGAAGGACTATAAGCTGATCCCATATAACGTATCCGAATATTGACTAATATGCTGCATTCTACTTAAACCATACACATAACGAATAATGCTATTATAAGCCACATTTAACTTATTTAGGCTATGTGCATCACAAAAAGCAAAGATCTCACATCCGTATATTAACCCTGGTATCAAGTAAGATTTAGCCAAAAGTTGTCTTATGTATGGCAGAGTAAAGGAGTGGGAAAGCCATAATATTCGCAATTTTGAATAAGTCTGTCCTATAGCCATATTAATGTGATTTGTCCAAGTTAGAGAAGAATTGAATACAACACCAAGGTTTTTTGTACTGGCAACAAGTGAAATTCTTTCTTGATTGACAAGTATATTAATATCATCTATCTGTAGGTTTTTATTTTTGTGAATAAAAAGACACTTGGATTTTTGTGAGTTAAGGAAATGTCAATTTGCTCTTGCCCAATTGCCTACCCTGCCGAGGTCATCATTACGTTTTTGGATGCAGTCATTAATACCGTTTACCGGGCTACTAATATAGATTTGAACATCATCCGCATACATGTGTATTTTACTATGAATAAGTTGTAGCGGAAGGTCATTAGCATATAGAGAGAAGAGGAGTGGACCCAATATGGAACCCTGGATAACTCCTTTCTCTACTCTTAATGGTTTAGATTTAGAATTACCTGATACTACCGATTGTGTTCGATCCGATAAGTATGATTTTATGAGTCTTGTTGATGTGTTTGCAAAATTGTAAAAGTGATGTAGCTTAAAACAAAGATTATTGTGATCAACAGTGTCAAAAGCTTTTGAGTGATCAAGCAATACCAATAAAACTGCTTTATTTTCCTCTATGTCGTTCCTTACCGACTCCGAAACTTCAATTAAGGCACTAATACAGCTATGATCTGCTCGAAATCCAGACTGAGCTGTTGTTAATGGACATTCTCGTTGTATGTACTCTGACATTTGTTTATAAAGTAACTTTTCAAAAACTTTTGAACAGAAAGATAAAATTGATACTGGTCGGTATTCAGTATTTGTTTTGGGCAAAGGAATTACTTTTGCATGCTTCCAAACCATTGGATAAATGCTAGTACTCAAAATTGTATTGAAAATGTATGTGAAGATGGGTAGGAAGTAGTATCCGTATGAATTTTGGATCAATATAATCAGCACCAATTGCATTGGATTTTATCTGTCTGAAGCTGTATTGGACTTCGTCATTGGTAACACATCGGAACTCAAATTTTCTCTCACCAGACAGACCATCCAAGTTTTCGACGTAAGAGCCGTAGAAGGAGGAGTTAGCTTGAACTGTCGGAATGTTTGTGAACGTTTTGTTTAGCTCGTCCACATCTACATGAAATGTCTGAAGAGTCTGTGATTTTCCTACACCAATGTGAATGACTTTCCATTTGTTTCTTGAATTTACCGCTGTGTTAAAACCTGTGTAATAATATTCTGTTTTTGCTGTGTTAATTTCATTGTTCACCATTTTTCGTGCAGACCGATATTCTTCGTGGAGATCTGGAGTTTTGTATCGCTTCCACCTTGAGTAAGCTCTATCTCTTTTGGCTATATATGATTTTATGGTGGAGTTAAACCAGGGCTTGGTGTTCGATTTATTCATCTTGCTTCTAATCGGAACAGTGTCATTAGGGAAAGGATATTTTTTGAAGAAACTCTACTTGGTCATCAACAGAAATAAGACCATAAATATCGCTCCAATTTATATGAAAGAATTTTTCCTCCAGAATATCATAACTAAATTTCGGTAGTCCCGAACGGTGTATGTCTGAAAGGATTACATTATATTAAAGTCGTAAACCAGGAAGATCATGTCATGCATGGAAAAACATGGCGCTGAACACTGATCGTACATAAGAATATGACGAAAAATAAGTCAGGTAGAGTACTGGTCGTCATTGAAAAGTGCGTAGGACATGTTGTATTTGGAGCATGTAAAGCAAATGATGACATAAGGGTTGTTAATGAAGCGTCATTAAGAATATTACAATTTAAATCTCCAGTTATAATAACTTTGTTATATCCCATTGTAACATTCTCCAGAACATCTTCAAGTTGATGGAGTCTAATGTTGTTGTTGGGTCGATATATGCAACCAATCAACATTTTCTCGTTGTTAGACTTTAGTTCGATGAAAATGTGTTCGATTTCATCACCTTCACTTAATTTGATTCGTAACCGAGAATATAAAGTATTTTTAACGAAAATGACAACGCCGCCCACACGTCGTCCTCTGTCCGACCTATATACTGTATACCTTTGCAAATTAATTAAACTGTCGGGAATTGATAAGTGAAGCCATGTCTCAGAGAGACATATAATATCTACACCTGAATTTTCAAAAATGTATCTAAATTCATCTGTTTTATTCAAAATACTTTGCGAATTTATATGACATATTTTTATCCCCTTTCTTTGATTGGCTGAGATTTTTACTAAACTCCTTATTACACCTAAGGATTTGGTATCTGTAAAAATTGTATCTTCCAAAGGGAGAAATATGTAGAGGAAGTTATGAAATGTAAGTATGTTGGAAACAAAAGTAAGTTGTAAAAAGTAATAATATCATTAAAATCAAATAGTAAAAGACACAAATAATTACAAAAAAAAAAAAAAATATGATGACTGTTGTTGTTGGCCCATAGCACGACATTCATCGATGATTTTTGGGTGGTAAATGAATATTGGTTCTTTGCTGTTGTGTCGCTTAACATATACAAAACCCCGAATGGTATACGCTGATTGCACCAGGCC